TACAGGTGTAACCTGTAAAGTGCTGCACACTTAAAAAAAAAAAAAACCCAGGTGCTAGGGATCTGAACTCAAATCCCCATGCATTCACTGAGCCATGTCTCTAGCCCTTTGTTTGGTTTTGGAGTTTTGTGTATGTTTGTGTATGCAGGTATATGTACAGAGGTATGTGTGCATGTGTGCATGCAGGTGGTAGAGGGGGTATATATGCATATGTGTGATTGCATGCTGTCTGTGGAGGGGGTATATGTGCATATGTGTGAGTGCATGCTGTCTGTGGAGGGGGTATATGTGCATATGTGTGAGTGCATGCTGTCTGTGGAGGGGGTATATGTGCATATGTGTGAGTGCTTGCTGTTTGTGGAGGGGTATATGTGCATATATGTGAGTGCTTGCTGTCTGTGGAGGGGGTATATGTGCATATATGTGAGTGCTTGCTGTCTGTGGAGGGGGTATATGTGCATATGTGTGAGTGCTTGCTGTCTGTGGAGGGGGTATATGTGCATATGTGTGAGTGCATGCTGTCTGTGGAGGGGTATATATGCATATATGTGAGTGCCTGCTGTCTGTGGAAGGGTATATGTGCATATGTGTGAGTGCATGCAGGTGGTGGGGAGTGTATATGTATATATGTGTGTAAATGCAAGTGGAGGCCTGAGGACAACCTCAGGTATTCTCAGGAGCCTTCCACCCTGTTTTAAAGCACACGTTCTTTCACTGACCTGCAACTCTTCAAGTAGACTAGGCTGGCTGGCCAGGGAGGCCCAGTGATTTTCCTATCTGTACCTCCCCTCTACCCCAGCATTGAGATTACAGGTGCAGACCACCACACCTAGCTTTTCACATGGGATGCTGGGGATCAAACCCAGGTCTTCATAGTCACAAGGAGAGCACTTTGTCCACTGAGCCATCATTCACTGAGCCTTCTTCCCAGCTGCTCTTGCTCTTCCCCAGTGAGATGCTCCACACTCTGTAGTTTCCCTTGAAGCTGGGGAAGAAGAGGGGAGCTTGCTTTCTTCCTCTCTCATTGTGTCTCTTATGGAATTAGGAAGATGCCCTAGTTCCCAGAGACTGGAGCACTAGGCACAAGCTTCAAACGTGAGATCTGCACAGTTATATTCCCACAGGTGACACTGACCATGGTGCAGGGCAGAGACCCATGTGTTTCCCATGTGTCCCCATTACCCAGCAGAATAATTGAGGTTGAGAAGAGAAACATTTACTAAACTGCTGTTGTCACCAAGCCAGGGATGACCAATGATTTTTTTTCCCCTGCACAACCTTGGACCCTGAATCCTTAGCTTATTATCAACTTCACTTTTCTACGTAGGACACTTCCTTTCTCTCATGAATTCAAATTCTCACCCCAGTTCTCTGCTTTGCAATCTTTAACATTACAAACGTTTGGGTTAACAGGACCCAAATTAGCCTTGGCCCTCTAGTCTATGAAAACATAACAGCTCATGAAATCTGAATGGGAGATTTCAAACCTAAACTTCTTTTTTAAAAGGTGTGTGTGTGTGTGTGTGTGTGTGTGCGTGTGTGTGTGTGTGTGTGTGTGTGTGTGCGTATGGATATGTGCTAGTGATTGAAAAGGCCAGAAGAAGGCACTGGTTTCCCGGGGAGCTGAAATGACAGGGGATTGTGAGCTGACTGCTGTGGTTGCTGGGAACCAAACTTTGATCTTCTACAAGAACAATGTGTTCTTAATCACAGAGACATCTTCTGGTCCTCTGCAAGAGCAGCAGGTAATCCTAACTGCTGACATCTCTCCTCACCAGATTTCTTAATTTATACAATCATGTCTACACACCTAAGGGATGAAACAAGAAAGGCAGCTACACTGACTACCAAGCAATATGCAACACAATGTGGCATTGGGGACAGTCATTCTCAGTCATTAATGTATAAACAATAACTAAAAGAGATGAGGAGATGAGTTTAGATCCCCAGAACCTATACAGGCTGACTATAGCCACACATGTCTGTGATCCCAGTGCTAAGGAGGCAAAGATAGGAGAATCCCAGGAGCTCACTGAGCAGCCATTTTAGCCCATCAGTGAACTCCAGATTCAGCGAGAGACTGTCTTAGAATACAAGGAGGAAGACAGTGGACATCAACCTTTGCCCTAAACAAGAGCATGCACAGGTGTGCACTCATGCACACATGCACTTGCAAACACATAAATACAATAACATGAATAAAACAAAAATTGAAAGGCACATGGAGGATGGCAAGATTGGAAATGGCTTGGTGAGTAAAGGCACTTTCTGACAAGCTTGATGACCTAACCAACTTGATGTCTAAGGAACCCAGATGTTGGGAGGTGAGAACAACTCCTAAAAGTTGTCCTCATACTAATAGAATCGAACCATAGCATGAACAAGTGCACACAAACACAAAGAATAACAAATGTAGCTGGATAGTGGTGGTGCATGCCTTTAATACCAGCACTAGAGAGGCAGAGGCAGATGGATCTCTGTGAGTTTGAGGCCAGCCTGGTCTACAGAGTAAGTTCCAGGACAGCCAAGGCTACACACAGAGAAACCCTGTCTTGAACCCCCCCCAAAAAGGTAAGTTTAAAAACATACCAATTAAAGAAAACTGAAATAAAAATCAGGAAAAAAGTACCCACAGTCACCAGTTGCTGCTTTTTCCAAGTCGATGAGGCTGAAAGAACAGGGTGCTGCTGCCCTGTAGCATTCTGCAAGTTCATGGGTTATGCATAAGTACACTAAAATAATGAATGACACTTAATGGCTTGAGTACCACATTGGAGGTTATGCACACAGAGAGTTAGACTTACCCCTTCCCACAAGAATCCAAACCAGATCTTATTCAAGAAGTTAAGCCCACATAGCTAGTAGCTCACAAGTCTGAAATGTGGAAACAAGGTGTGGAACCCTAGAGCAGGGCTTCACTCCAGGAGTACATAGCAGGGGCTGGGCCACTGAGAGACTTCTCATTTGTACTATGTGATTACTAGATGTGATGGAAGCCAGATCTAGGGCCCTTTCAGTGTCAGGAGAAGCTGGGGTGGAAATGCACATTGACCCTGCTGAGAATCCCTGTTCTAGGACTAAGGATCTTACCCCACATCTATTAAACACATGTCCTTCTCCAAGGCAGATTTTCAAAGGGTTCTCTGCTTACTTTTTTCTATATTTTTCATTTAAAAAGTGTAGCTGTGTGTTGTGGTTTACATCTGTAATCCCAGCACTAGGGAGGCTGCAAAAATAATTTTTGTAAGCTCAGTGTCAGCCAGAAACACATAATAAGTAAAAGAGGATCTTAAAAACAACTCTTCAACGGGGGTGAGATGGGGTGAGGGGTGGCCCATGCCTTTAGTCCCAGCCCTTGGGAGGCAGGGACAGGCAGATCTCTGTGAGTTCAAGGCTAGCATAATGTACAGAATTCCAGAACAGCCAGGGCTGTTACACAGAGAAACCCTGCCCTAAAAAAACCTCTTCTAAATATTAAATTATCATAACAATATACATTTATTATATCAGATGAAAGTATCTATGTGTTACATAGATAAGCCCTATCTCTATCTGGCTGCTCTGGGCTGTTTGCAGTTCATATGATAAGGTGCCTTTGCAAGCTCTCTAATTTTCCTATGGCTCTACTCAATCCAAATACATTTCTTGTTGGACAGTCTGGGCACCTCTTACATCTTTCAGGGTGGATTTCAGAAATGCAGCCTCTTTAACGGTTCATGAACAAGTGATTCTAATCTGCCAGCCTAAGGGGGTATTGAGGCCTGTCATACAGGCTGCTGGATGGAATGTCAGGTGAGGAACTGACCTGTCCTTGCCTCAACAGTCGGTGAATGGTCCAGGCAAACTGTCATGGCTTTGTCTCTCACCCTGTGCCAGAGAAGGGAGCATGCCACCTGGCATAAGTGGCTAACAGTGGCACTCCCAGAGGCAAGTCCCTGGGGAAGACTGTAGGCAGATGTGTTTGGTCTCTGAGTCAGAATTTAGTCTGCCATTCCTCCACAGCTTCAGTATCAGAGCCTCAGGCAAGAGAAGGACTCTGGGGAAAACCACACCCCCCCTTAGAAGGACACACCCAAAATCTCTTGCACAGCCCAAGAGGCATCACCTCTTCTCTATAGGCTGAAAGGAATTCTGGGCATAGAACAAGCTGGAAACTAATTGAGGGAAGAGACATTTCTCCTCTGGAAGCTGAAAAGGAAAAAGCATGTCTGCTCAGTGAGGTGAAGCTGATAGAGAATATGTGGGAGCAGGGCAAGATAAATACTGGGTGCTCCAGGGTGTTTGAGTTGGGTTCTGCCTCCTCGCCTCCCTGCCTTGGCAGCAGATTCAAGGAAGATGGGTTCCTACAGCCAGCTGGTAACACTTTCACTTTAAAACCCATTTCTCCCTTAGAAGGAGTGTGCCTTATACTTTAAGAGTAAGAGCCCTGCTTCTGTGCTTTGGCAACCCTTTTCGAAGAATAGGAAAGGCTCAGAGAGAAAACTTAACAAGTCATTTTCATAACTCACCCATCCAATACCCAGTGTAGGGTACCTAATCCATTGACTATTGGCCAGATAGTGACTGCTGGAATCCTAGGATGGATGGATGGATACGTGCACGCATGCATTTATGAACACATGGATAGATGGATCTGTGAACATGCTGATGGATAGACAGATGCATGCATGCATATGCAAATACATGCATAAGTGGATGGAGGGATGCATGGAAGCATGCATGGATGAAGAGGCAAATGCATGGATAGGTGCATGAATGCATAGGTTGATGGAGGGAATGAATGGGAGCATGCATGGATGAAGAGACAAATGGATGGGTAGATGGATGCATGCACAGGATGGAAGAATGAATACGTGGGTGGATGGGTGGAGTGATTCCTTTTTGACCCTCAGGCAAGAGAAGGACTCTGGGGAAAACCCTCCCGCAATTTCCTAAAAAGAGTCCAGGAGACTCTGTTTGACTTTCACCCTGGCTGACATTCCCGCACAGCCAGTGCTTACCTTGTGCTGCTTCCACGTTGCTCCCAGTGGCTTCACCTCATGTTTGCTATGCCTGCCTTCTTCCAGGCACAGGTAGCACACCGGACTCCGACAGCTCACGCAGTACATGCTGTAGTTCTCCATTTCGTGCTCGGGGCACGTGGGGAACTTTCGCGGCACGCTGGCCCCGGCACCCCCTGGACTCCTGCATCCTCCTGCGCTGGGAGCGGTGGATGTGCCGGCTGAAGTAGGGCTAGCCTCTGGGGGTGCGGGAGGCGGCGGTGGCTGAACTAGCCGATGCTTAGCGAAGGGGCCCCGGGACGGGTGGCACTTGAGCTGGCAGGTGGCGCCATAGAGCACGTCGCATTGCTCGCAGAGAGTGGCTGCCGGCTCCGGTGGGGTGCGGTCGCACAGCTGGCAGATGGCCACCGCTGGGGCTGCAGATGCCCCCGCAGCTCCCCCACGGCCCTGCTGGTACCGCTGTACTATGCCCTCCAGCAGCCGGTTGCGCTGGAAGCCTCGCAGACCGCGGTGATCCAGGGAGGCGCTGCGGTGGCATTGCGGGCAGGTGATGGAGCTGGAGGATGAGCAGAGTGAGGAGCAGGCGGCGCCCCGGGCCGCGGCGGCAGAAGAGCCCGGGGGCGCAGGCACCATGGGCAGCACGCGGACTCCGTTGGGGGACTTGAGGCTGGGGGGGGAGGAGCCGTAGCCGCTGTCAGTCTCGCTGTACAAGCTCAGCTTGTCCGCGTGGTCTCCGCCCCCTGCCGCTCCGCCGCCCAGGCCTCCAGCTGTGCTAGCTGCCGCGCCTCCGCAGGTCGCACCGGCAGCAGCATCCTGATCTGGAGGGGGCGCGGCGGCGGCCGCAGCGGCACCCCGCGAAAGCAGGAGCGGCGGCGGCAGGTGCTGCTCGCCGTCCGGGGTCTGAACTGCGATGGTGCGGGCGCAAGGCAGGCAGACATTGTGAGAGCAGGGCAGAATGATGGCCTCCCGGAACAGGGAGCCGCACACGGGGCACTTCAGCTCTTCCTCCATCGCCGCGCCCGGGGCCGGAGCCGCTCGGGACCAGCGAAGAATGGTCAAGCTTGGAAGACAAGCGCAGCGGGGCGGGCGAGGTCAGCTCTGCTGAGACGGGAGGCGGGGGCATTACACGGGCATGCTGTCTTCACCCGCGTGGGGCACGCCCCTCTCTGTCCTCAGGCCACCGCCCTAAGTCGCTTGGCTTCCAGAGAAGGGAGGGGTCCTCACCTCCTGCGGGCGAGGCTCCCGCACCAGAAGCAGCCGTCTGAAGGTGGCGGGCAGCCTTACGGTGGCCTCCGAGGTTGTCCGGGTGATAAATCAGCAGCAGCAGCAGCAGCGCCGTCCGGTTACCCGTGCCTCCCTACCATGCAGGACCAGTGGCCCGCCGCTGTCAGCCAGCTAGGCTACTGAGCTGGGCTCCGCATTCTGGTTGCCCCGAGTCTTCTCCGAGCGCCCCGCCCCTACCCAGCTCTTGGCAGAAGCACGAGCCGCTGGGCCAAAGCTGGTTCAGCACCACCAGACTGCGGACAGCGCGCGCGAGCGGGCGGAGAAGGAGTCAGCGTCGACTCCCGGTGCGCACCGCCAGCCAGGCTGCTGCGCTGCCGCGGCCACCTCGGCATGCCCCGTCCCGGAGGCCGTCGCCGTCCCGCTCCCCGGCCGCTGCTCTCGGAGCTGCCTCCTTGCAGGCCGGTACTGACCCGCGTCCCCGACTAGTCTCGCCAGCTCCGATTCCTGCGGCGCCCCTGACCTTGGCCGCACCACGCTGCAGCGGCGGGCGGGGGGCGAGCGCCCGCTGGCTCGGGAACCCCCTCCCGGCCCCGCCGCCTCCCGCGCCCGCCGCGCCAAGCGCCCAGGAGTTGTAATTTCCAGAGCGAGAGTAACGGGGCGGGGGGCGGGGAGCCAGGCGTCAGCTCAGCGAATGAGGGCTCGCCTCTCGCTACTGGCAGTCAGGGGCCGGGCGGAGGGCTTCGCAGGGAGGATCATTGTGGAGAGCAGCTCGCTATTCGGATGGAGACTGCATGGTGAATTAGCACGGCGCCCCGCCCCGCCCCGCCTGCCAAAGCGCCCCTGGCCGGCTCCTGCCCTGCCCACTCCCGACCACCATGAAAGCGTAAACAGCGGCGGCTAAAAAGCCAGTCGCTTGGAAAAGGGCCCCGCAGAACAGCGCGACAGTCGCTTCCTAAATCCATTTCCCCCGCAAAAGCTTTCTAGGCACAAAATGTCGGACAGTCTCGAGCCAAAGGGCGAGGTTTGATTTATGCCGCCACAAGTCTTTTTGTCTCCTCGATTCTACCGAGGCTGGTCGTGGACGACGAGGCCCGGAGCGGCGAGAACTTGGCGGGGACACCGTGAAGGTTGCTAAACACAACCTCCCCAGGCTGCTCGCGGGTGGGGAGAGGCAGGAGGCGGCGAGCAGGTGTTCGCTTTATGAATGGGAGCTTCCTGCTACGCCGCCGCCCGCGCGCCTGGCGGCCGGGCTCCTCCCGCCATCAGCCCGGCTGTTCGGCTGTTCCGCTGTTCGTCTCCGCCACCGCGCCGGGTAGTGATAACTACCCAGAGAAAGGAAAGACGAGCTCCACCGGCTTGGAGCTAAGGGCAGACCGGGGAAGGGAAGAGCATATTGGGGTGGGAAGAGCGCGTGGAGCTTAAGGCGCGCCACCGGCCCTCTCTTCCTGTGGGATCCACGATAGCTGGGAACAGACAAGGAAATTGTCGGTTTAAAAAGAACGTTGTCAGCCAGCCAGGTGGCTCGTGCTTGTAATTCTAGCACTTGAGAGGCTGAAGCTGAAGGATTGCTATGCGTTAGTTCAAGGCCACCTTGCGCTGCATAGTAATTTCCAAGCTAGTGCGGGTTGCATAGTATGACTCTGCCGGATAAAAACAAACAAGAACATCAACCATGATGCAGACCTGCGCGGAAATGATGCATATCCCCGAGCCCCTGCCAATGTTTGGAGAGTCAGCAATAGGGAGGAATGAAGCCACAGAAAAATGAGGCAGCTGCCTTGGCCTGACTCAGTGCCTAAGGGATAAAACCTCTGGCGAGAGGGTGGTCTCTGGAAAGGTCATGACAAAGCACCCCAATAAAGCCCGGGCCTTCACAGGACTCTCTGGGGTTCTGCAGCTTGCTTCCACTTTTGCCTAGCATGGAAAATACTATAATAGCACTTATGTGTGTGCACCAAATTTGTTACCGTAAATACAGATGCTGTGGCCTAGTTTCTAAGCATCTCACTTCCGCTAACCTGAATAGCTTACAGGAGCCTGGCTTGGTGTTGAAGAGTAGGACCCTGCTAGATAATAGACATGACATGAACCCTGCCTCTTGCTCCTCAGGAAACAATGCTGTCCCCAGGTGGGAGGAAGGGACGAAACTGTCCTAGTCTGTTCCCTGTAGATGAAGCCTGCAACACATTCAAAAACTCTTCAGAAATGACTTTGAACCCAAAGTCTAGGAGAGGAACAGCATGAGTTATTGAATGCTCTTCAAGAGGCCTTTCTGCTGAACCCAGTGGTCCAGCTCAGCCCTGCCCCTGGTAACCACAATGGAAGCCAGAACCTCTTAAAAGCCTCATGATTCCATAATAAGCAGGAGGGATTCTGACCTCTCCAGCATCCCATACTTGACCCCTGTCTCACTTTGTCATTTTCAGACCATGGCAGCCTGTTTAGGTTTGGGCAGGGTGGCCCTTCTAACTAGATATGTGTGTCTCTGCACAAGTAAGACTTACCACGGAGCCACTCCTAGCCTGGTGTAGTAAGTAACATGCCCATGAAATCTCAGCATTTGGAAAGCTGCAATAAGAAGATAGCAAGTTTCAGGCCAGCCTGGGCCACAGAGTGGGACCCTGACTCCACAAACAAGCACAAAGAAGCAAGCAAAGTTTCTCCTTTGTTTTTCGTACATCAAACAGAACACTCGAGCATCTCCCCATGCTCTCGGATGCCAACACTGTGTTCTATAGCCCAAGTCAACTCAGCCGTGTGCTAGACTGGAACCCAGGCTCTGCCTACATAGAGGACTGGCTTCCTGCCATGTCTGCGTGTGAGTCACAGTTCCAGGCAGCTCTGGTGCTTCTTACACATAACCGCAATCACTAATGATTGTCACTGTTGTCTATTAAAAATCCTATCTGCTGCAACTGTGCTGTGAACCATATGCATAAAAAGATTGTCGCTTTGGGGCCAGTGAGATTGTGCAGTGAGTGAAGTGCTTGCTGAGCAAGCCTAGCTACCTGAGTTTGAGTCTTAGAACCCAGGGTAAGGTGGACAGAGGGAACCGACACCACAAAGTTGTCTTCTGACCTACGAAAACACAGACACACACACACACACACACACACACACACACACACACACACCAGGTTTTTTTTTTTTTCAGGTTACAAAATTAAGAACAGAATTCATTAATTTTCTTCTGATTATAGAATCTCAGTCTAGTTGTAGTTTCTAAGAATGATTCATCCAAGGGCTGGAGAGCTGGCTCAGCAGTTAAGAACACTTTCTGCTTTTGCAGAGGACCCGGGTTCAGTTCCCAGCATCCAGGCCGAATTGTTCACAACTGCCTAAATTCCATTGAGCAAGGGGGATCTGATCCCTCCAGTCTCTATAGGCACCACAATGCACGTGCACTTACCCATATGCATTCACACAATTCTTTAAAAAGTGATTTATCTCACTTTAAAAAGTATTTCCAAGTCAGAGTTAGAGGCTCATGCCTCTAATCCCAGCATTCAAGAGACTGAGGGTGTAGGATTGCTGGGAATGTGAAGCCAGCCTGGTCTACATAATGAATTCCAATCTAGTTTTGTTTACACTCTAAGATTCTATCTCAGGTAACATTCACAACAACAATTTCTTTCATAAAGAAATTTGGCCCAGTAATGGTTTTACAATCCATTTTCCTCAAGTCACTACTAGTGCATTTTTAAAAAGACTTTATTTTTATTTTATGCACATGAGTGATTTTCCTGCATGCCTATAGGTATACCACATGCATGCAGTGCCTGTGGAGACTAGAAGAGGGCACCATGTCCCCTGGAGCTGAAGTTAGAGATGGTTGTGAGCCACTTTGTGGGAGCTGGGAACAGATCCTGGCTCCACTGCAAAACAGGCAGTGCTCTGAACCACTGAGCCATCCCCCCAGGCCCCTTCTAGTGTTTTTGTTTGTTTGTTCCATTTTCACTTTTTGCTTTTGATTTTCAAGAGAGGGTCTTCATGTGTAGCTCTAGGTGTCCTGAACTCACTCTGTAAAATCAGGCTTGTCTTGAACTCAAAGATCTGCCAGCCTCTGCCTCCTGAGTTTTGAAATTAGAGGTGTGTGCCACCACCATATGGCTTTCTAATGTGTTTTTAAAGTCTGGGCTTTGGATAAGTTGAGGCAAGTAGCAATATTCACATGACCAATATTCAACAGTACGAAAATAGAACCCTATTTAATTCTTATGACCTGGGAAGCAGGTTTGGATATACATATTTTTACATAGTGATGTTGGCCACCAAAAAAATATTCAACAAATGACCCACACTTCTTTTCCCAGCTTTACCTGGGGCCTTTCTTGGTGAATGGTGGTGCAAAGCACATTAGTAATAAACACTCCACAAACCAAGGCCCCGCAAAGCAGAGAAAAGGCAGACTCTTGCTATAGTCACTTCAAATAACATGATTTTTACTCTCAAGTGTCCCAGTGACCTTCAAGAGACAAGTTTGTATTACCTCACCCAATAAAAATAGCATGGGTGACTTAAATAATTTACCCAGTTAACACAGCAAGGTAGAGATAAAGTGGTCCTACTGTACTGTCTTTAGAACCTTTACAAATTCAAGTTGCAGTTGAATGAAATTTAAGGCTTTTTCAGTAAAAATTGATGTTGTGGTCTCAAGTATAAACTTTAAATTCTAAAACGAATTTGAAGTGAAAATTCATGTTATCACTCTTTTGAGTTCAGTTTTTATAGTTATTGTTTGATTCTGTTGCAGAATGGGCAGATTCAGGGAAATTAGAAATCTATAG